ACCCGCCTGTATTGTGCCATGGTTCGCTTACATGACTTGCTTGTACAGCGGAGAAGGCCATGGCACTTCACAACTGGGCTCTTCGATCTCTGGTAGGGCCGCGGGTTGGGAACATGCCGGAATGTCTGCAGTGACTTTTTGCAGCAGAACGGGCACATCGATGATGTCTGGAATTCGTCGGCCAGATATACCTCAAAGCCATGGTGCTTGAACATGTTGTACCGTCCCTTGCCGCGAATCGGCGCATGGTGTCGGGCCATCGATGCGCCACAATTATCCCTGATTAGCACAGGATCTGGACCGAACTAGGACTGAAGTATCGCAGCAAGCCAGCGGTTCCAAGTCTGGGTACCGAGGATGTGAAAGTTGAGTGGCTCGTTTTAAACTACTGGATCTACAAAATGCGAAGGGCCTAAGACGAGTGGGGCTTTGATATATGGTTCAATGTTCGATTTCCCAGTGCTATTCAGATATATATTTGACACCTTAGGATCTGAATCCATCGGCGTAAAGAGAGAATCCTATTTTAAGAGTCCACGGAGGGAGTCACGCATACTCGCTGTGAGGCTCAAAAGAGTGTGGGTCCTTTCAGTCAATAAAAAACATTACAGTGAATAGGCGGACACATTCTGGGATATAAAATCGTATAGAGGTAGGTCAAGACATCCAGCCACATGCAATCGGTCTGTGCGGTGGTGCCACACAGCAGGGATTCTGTTGCAGTATAGTAAAAATCCATATTGCTCAAAAATCATCTACCCTGCTAGACGACGATGAGAACGAAGCTGAGCGGCGGTGGCGGCGACGACTGTCCTCGTGGGCTGAGTCGATGTCCTGACTATCGTCAAACATGTCATCGCCAATATCGACATTCTCGTCCGTTTCCTCGGTGCGCCCAGTGTTGTGGACAATTTCCTCCTTGATCTTCTTGCGCAGCTTGTTCATGGCTTCCTGCTGGTCCTGGATCTCCTCCTCTTTCATCTCGCGCAGCTGCAGCCCCATATGCGTGACATATAATGGGTCGTCGCGCTCCTCCTCTAGCTGGACGTTCAGCGGGACCTGACGGCGCTTCAGCATGGCGCGCGACTTGATTGGCACATACACAGCCTCGCCGTTATTGATAGTGAACATGTACATGTCCTGGCGGTGTGCCTCGGAGAGCCCCGGTAGATCGTAATCGCGCGCCTTCTCAAAGCGATACTCGACGCCCGAGTCCTGCTCGCCTGCCTGCCTGCCATCAGTCAGCCGCTCGTGGATCTTGGTCGCCATTTCGCTGTCTTCAGGCAGGAACGACTCAACCCACCGTTCACTTTGGCCAAAGTTGTTGGTGCGGTCGCGCAGCCTAAACACGATCGACTGGCGCGCCTCATCGCCGAGCTTCTGGCGCTTCGCAGCGTCCATGCCAGGGCAGTTCTTCATGCTTGTGTACTGCGGCTCCGGGCACATGTCGAGCGTGAAGGCTGTGTAGTTGTTGACCCAAGTGTGCTCGTCGGGGGAACACCGGGATGGCCTCGACGGCAGTCAGCTTCGAGTTCGTCGGGTGCTTCATGTCACGCAACAGCCTCGCCTGGCCATCCTCGAGGTCGGCGTATTTGGCGTAGCATGCAAATGTATCTTCGATCGCCTGCAGCTGGCCCTCAAGCGAGTGATCAAATTTGCGCTTCTCCTGCACGCGCACCACGGGCCTGGCAGCTGGGCCGCCAGACGTGCTGGTGCTGCTGGTGTTCGGTGCGGGTGCTGCTGGCTCAGTGGTGGTGGGGAGATTCAACAAGAATTCATCTCTTGGATCGAGCTCCTGCGGCTGGAGGGCACCTGGCCTGTAGTCTTCATCAAATGTCCCCAGCATGCACGGATCGATCGGCATGCCCAGGTCGGCGTCAATGTGCATCGGGTACGGTGTCGCCTCCTCCAATGTTGTGTGCCGGTATTCGACATAGTGTGCGAGCCGTGCCTGGCTGTACGAGCCACCGTTCGCGTCTACGTATGTCGGCGGAATCGGCAGCAGTTTGGGAGGAAAGGGGACCACGGGCAGTGGGTTCTGGTACCGAACCTTGCACAGAAACTCCTTTCCAATACTCCTAAAAGTAAACAGCGGCGTGTGGTTAGAACCAAAAGCTGGCAAGCATTGAGGGAATTATAAAAAAAAAAAAGACGCTGAGCTATGAACAGCGATTGGTGTCAAACAGAAGCGTACTTTTTGTTTTGCTTGGACGCCGACGACATTTCAGGGTGTATGTGCGTTAACGCGTTCCGTCCTTGGTATACTTGCCGTAGCAACTGATGCGTAGAGAGGAAATGTGTGCAGCTTGGTAATGAAGTAAACTATCGGGTAATTCGAGCAGCGAGCAGAGGGGAGGAATGGCGCGTCGTGCCCCAGCCCCTTGTTCTCAGAAAAGCGGCTGAATTAGCGGGAGGGATCACCAGATCAGCAGCGCATGTTGGGCCCGAAGATGACTCAAATTTTCGAACAGTACACGGCACGGACCGTTTCGCAAAAGCCCTGCCTTTCATTCTTCTTCATTTGAGCGTTTAAACAGCACCAGCACTTTCTTTTCGCAAGCAGCAATATGGCCGAGACGCAGGAACTAACCCAAGCTACCGAGAACATGTCTCTGGAGCAGAACATCACGCCGTGGGAGGTCGAGGGCGCCGTGGTCGACGGTGTGCAGCAGGCAATTGACTACGACAAGCTCATTAAGCAGTTCGGCACGCGCAAGATCGATGACGCTCTGCTGGAGCGGTTCGAGACGGCCACGGGGCAGAAGCCGCACCTGTATCTGCGGCGCGGAATCTTCTTCTCGCATCGCGAGCTGGAGAAGATCCTCGAGCGGTACGAGCAGGGCAAGCCGTTCTACCTGTACACGGGGCGTGGGCCGAGCCGCGGGCACATGCACATTGGACATATGATGCCGTTCATTTTCTGCAAGTGGCTGCAGGATGTGTTTGACTGCCCGCTTGTGGTGCAGCTGACTGACGACGAGAAGTTCCTGTTCAAGAATGACCTGACGCTGGAGCAGGCGAACGAGTATGCGTTCAACACAGTGCGTGAAATCGCCGCGATCGGCTTCAAGCCCGAGAAGACGTTTATCTTCTCGGACATTGAGTACATGGGCGGTGCGTTCTACCGCAACGTCCTGCGCATCTCTCGCATGGTCACGTACAGCACGGCCAAGGCGTCGTTCGGATTCAAGGAGAGCGACCACATTGGAAAGATCCACTTCCCTAGCATTGAGGCGGCGCCAGCCTTCTGCTCGTCATTCCCCGACATCTTTGGCGAGCGCAAGGATGTGCCGTGCCTGATCCCGTGCGGCATCGACCAGGACCCGTACTTCCGCCTGACGCGCGACGTGTCCCAGCGCCTGAAGCACAAGAAGCCATCGCTGATCCACGCGCGCTTCCTGCCGGCGCTGCAGGGCTCGACCTCCAAGATGAGCTCGTCGAACGATGTCTCTGCCATCTTCATGAGTGACACGCAGGCGCAGATCAAGAAGAAGATCAACCGCTATGCCTTCTCAGGTGGCCGCACGTCGCTGGATGAGCACCGCATGTACGGCGGCAACCCCGACGTCGACGTGCCGTTCCAGTACCTGACGTACTTTTTGGAAGACGACAAGGAGATTGAGGACCTGGCCGAGGGTTACCGCAAGGGCGAGATCACGTCGGGCGAGATGAAGGCAAGGTGCATTGCTGTAATCCAGGAGTTTGTTGGCAAGTTCCAAGAGCGCGAGGCCGCCATCACCGATGCCGACGTCAAGAACTTTATGGACCCGGTGTATCCGCGCCCGTACACGGCTTTGGCCAAGAAATAGAGCATTTTTGGTATAGAAAAAGACCAGTCAAAGATAGCTACCGCATTGTATTTGCAACTGGAAAAGAAGGAAACTAGAGGCTCTGCGAGCTGGCGAACGACTGGCACTGCTTCAGCATATCGAGGTAGTACTGGCACGACGACATGTCGTTGTTGGTGCTCTCAAGGCAGCGCGTGAACGCCTTGGCGTCGGCATCACACGAGCGCACACCCTGGAAACGACTGAGCATGCTGGTCATAGCTAGCAGCCTGCGGGGCAGTCTGCTGCTGGGCAGGCTGAGCCGCCTCGCTGCTGCCACCTCCGCTGAACATACCGGTGACGGCGGCACCCTACACAGATCACAGGGGGGAAATCATCAGCAGAACAGAGATAAGGGCTGCATCAATCGAATATCGTGGAACACGTTCTGAAAATAATTCGCGCGGAGTACTTACGACTGTGTGGCCAATGGCAGAGCCGACGGCGACACCACCGGCGGTGGCAAGCCATCTGGGCAAAGAGACCCGGCTGCTGGGGCTGGGCGGCCGCGGCAGGAGCGGCGGTAGGAGCGGCGGCAGGCGCGGGATGGTGGGCAGCCGGCGGGGGGGCAGCCATGGTGTGGGCCTCACGGCGGGGAGGAGCCGACATGGGGCGGGAAGAACGTCCACGAGAGCGAGCCATTTTTACAAAAAGAAGAAAAGGGAAATGTGAAATTGAAGTGACTGTTGGAGAAACAAAGAAAGCCAAAGCACTCCCCAGGACAGATGCGTGGCCAGTCACCCGTTTATACCCAGGAACCTGCCTGCCAAGAATCACGGACTGCCTGCGGCTTTCTCGCAGCAACGATTACGCATAAGACGCAGTCGCTGATGACTAAAAAATTAACCGAACCGAGCTGCCATGATCGAGCCGGCCCGATTTCAGCGAGACCATCTCGCCGTGGGCTAGTCACAGTTCAGGGTGCGTCTGATCTGGGCTGTGCGCCAGGCTCCTTGCCAGGCATTAACGCCACGTAGCCGTTGCACTACGCTCTTCTATATTGCAGCCCACCCGCTGACATGTGCTAACAATAGATGCACTAGAGCACAGCGCGACTGACCTGCACCATGCATGGGATGCTCTGATGTTTGCGGAGAGGGGTCGATGAGCGGACTTTGGCCGAGGCCTGCAGATGTCAACATCGCACCTATTGTTGTCTCGTAAACACCCCCGGACTTCTCAGTTTCGCCTTTTTAGCTTGATGTCCCCCGTCTGACTTATTTGCACACTCTATTAGTACACTTGTTTTAGCCAGAGATGGAGGAGCTCGAAATTCTTCCCAGAGATGCGTACCTGCACCCTATCAGCATCACCCGCGCCCCTTGCACCATCCAGTGGTGGTTTTCAACAAAGCGCAAGAATATCGACTTTGGCCTGTTTTACCGCCGGGCGCCAGCAGCCGGCGGCTACAGCGACGATGGGCGCATCCGCACACCTTACGCCGCTCGGAACCATCGGCAAAGCAGGTGGAATTTCGACTGCCGCAGGCAGCACCACAGTGACCCCAATACCGACGCCCAAAGTGGCTGGCACAGCATCGTTCCGCGGCAAAAAGAATCCCTCATCGGCATCTTCCGGCCAGCTGGCCGAGCCGGACGTGCGGACAGCGAACCTGGCCCGATCACAGAACGACCTGGCGGCGAAGCAGCGCGGAGGGTATTTCAAACTGCAAGACAAGAATGTGACCGAGCTAATCCCGCTCAAGCACTACGAGTCATCGAGGTCGACCATCAAGGGCTCGTGGAACGCGGCCGAGCCCGGCACATACATTTTGTATTTCGACAACTCGTTCTCGAAGAACACCTCCAAGCGGCTCTCTATGTGCGTTGCCGTCAAGGAGAAGGCAACTGAGGCTACCGAGGACGTCCCAGCCGTGGTTCAGAGCGGATGGCTGTTGAAGAAGAAGCGCAAGAGAATGCAGGGATGGGCCAACCGCTGGTTTTCACTACAGGGTCGCTGGTTGTCGTATTCGACGACTGAAGGCGGTGTTGTGCGCTCAAAGGTTGACATTGTTAACGCAGTCGTGTCGATGTCCAAGGAGGACCGCATCGTCATTGTCGATGGTGACGAAGGATTCATGCAGCTGCGTGCCCTCAGCGATGACGATTTCAGCTCCTGGGTCACAGCCTTCCAGAATGTCAAAGACCAGGCAGCCCAGCATCCAGCGACTGTGACCATATCAACAGACGCCGGATTCAACAATTCCACCCAGCTCCGCCCGCCTGTTACCTGCGATACCGTCCCGCCGGCAGCGACTGGCGGAGTGAAGGCAGACAGCCGGCATTTGCAGCTGCTGCAGGCCAGCATGGATGATTCTATCAGCCAGCTGCAGAGGCTGGCTAATAATGTCGGCAGCATTCCAGTCGCAACATTCCAGAGCCAGGCGCTCATGTACCTGCGTCTGCTCAAGGATAACGCCAGCATCCTGATTCACCACCTGTCTGACCACGAGGTGGCAGTGCAACAGCAGGAGCAGTCGGACCGTCAGGACAGCCAGTCCCAGGTGTCAAACCTCATTGTGTGCAGAGATACCGGATCCGCACCACCCACCATCGCGCACACAGACTCGCGCATGTCGTTCCTGTCTGCCTCCGGGTCCGACATATTTTATGATACAAACGAGGTTCTGGAGGTTGCACACGAGGATCTCAAGCTGTCGCCGTCACCCAAGTTGTCGCCAACAGACGTGGCCCGCACGTTGTCTGAGGCCCCAGCTTTTGAGTCACCTGTTGCTGGCAAGATCCCCGCCATCACTACCAATGGAAGCCCCGGGTCCACCTCAGATGGCGGCACACCTACGTTGGACCCTAGCATCACCCCGACCTCCGGACAGGACGATGCCGACAGCATCAGCGACAGCGACAATGACGACGCGTTCTATGGAGGCAGCGCAAACCACAGCAGCACCAACCGCAATATCCGCATGCACCGCGATCTGATCCGCGACCCCGATTTTGTCGAGGCCATGGTCAAGCACCGGCTGGCGTCGCCGCGCCCATCGACATCTGAGCCATACCCTGAATCTCCTTTGAAACAGGATCAGGACACGGAATACACGGATCTTGACAATAGGCCCGAGGTTACGCTGGACCGTGTCAAGGACCAAATTGTTGGCCACGAGCCACGCACAGAGCTCCCGGCGATAATGTGCGAGGCGAACGTCAGTCTGATCTCAATTCTGCGCAAGAACGTCGGCAAGGACCTGACCAGCATTGCAATGCCGCTGGTTATGAATGAGCCCATCAACGCGCTACAGGCGCTGTGTGAGGAGCTCATGTACAGTCGCATTTTAGCCAGGGCCGACGAGATGGGCGACAGTATTGATCGACTGATGTATGTTGCAGCTTTTCGCTATCAGTACACTGTCATCAAAGAAGCACCGCGCTGAGCGCAAGCCCTTCAACCCGCTTTTGGGCGAGACGTATGAGAAAGTCGATCCGCACATGGGCTTCCCGCTTTGTGTCTGAGAAGGTCTCGCACCACCCACCGGTCATGGCCTGCTACGCAGACTCGCCCAACTACCGTTTCTGGCAAGATTCGTCGGGCAAGAGCAAGTTCTGGGGCAAGTCGATGGAAATGATCCAGACGTCGAACGTGCACATTGAGCTGCTGAAACACGGCGATCACTTTACATACGGCAAGCCCTCAGCGTTGGTTCGCGGTCTAATCACTGGCAATCGCACCGTCGACTTCACTGGCGAGATGCGGATCACCAACCAAACCACTGGGGACTACTGCACTGTCCACTTCAAGGAGGGCGGCATGTTCAGCTCGTCCAACGACATGGTTGAGTGCACCTGCACCGCAAAGGGGACGGCAAGGTTGACCGCGTTTTGCGCCGGGCAACTGGCCAACGCAGCTGCGGCACGAAAAATCCACCACAAAGTCTGACATACTCTGGACGGCACTTGGCGGCTGCCGCCCAACGCTGACAAGTACTACAGCTTCAGCTACTTCACCATGTGCCTGAATGAGCTGGTCGCAGCGACAGCCAAGTCTCTGCCGCCCACCGACACGCGCTTCCGCCCCGATCAGCGTGCATTACGAAGAGGGCCGCCTGCAGGATGCCGAGGAGACCAAGCATGAGTTGGAGGAGGCACAGCGGGAGCGCAAGCGCGAGCGGGACGCCAAGGGCGAGGAATGGAAGACAAAATGGTTTGAGGAGCGGGAAGATCCATACAGCGAGACAGGCAGGTCGTGGCAATACAAAGGCGGGTATTGGGATGACCGTGCAAACCACACGTTTGATCCTGCCGCCAAGCTGTGGTAATATCCATCTGCTTTCTGTGAATTCCTTTAATAGATTCATTAATTCAAGCTGGATAGCCGAGTAAAGCACAGGAGTAGACGTGATGTGAAAAGTACGGACCCGGGTAACGTTTGCGGGCTTGTAGCAGCATTGGCTTCGAGTTCTTTTGAGCAAACGACACGGTTCTGCAAAAACCCTGCTGAGCCCGGAAGCTAGAGACCTCCGTGCTTCCCATTCAGTGCCCAAGCAATGGCAGAGCTGCCTACCTCCCAAGTAGCTGGTGGTGATCGTATGTGGATTGACGTGGATCACATGGTCGCCATCTGCGCGTTTGGCCGTTTTGTTTGACCATGCCTACGATCTGTGTTGCGAGTTTTTTTTTATACAGAAGAGGCAATTCGGTGGACGTGTTCTGTTCGGAATAGTGACTGTCCAATATAAAGAACATGTTTGTCTGCACGACTCGAGTACTGAATTTGCTACCTTAAATAGATAACGCAGCCGTTGTTGTGTTGTCTACAGAGAGAGATACATACATATAATGTGCCTAGGATCGGTAGACAATACTTTGCCGAATCTACCAGTATTTACCAGTCTTAGCATCCTCCTCCACATCCAACCACACTTTCTGCTACCTATAAAACCAAAGCCTACTTTGTTTGAAGTCTGAATTATTGATCCCCACGAGTAACAAGGCTTCTATCATCTCCAACGATGATGTTGAAAAGGGTGCCGCTGCTCCTACCAACATCGACCATCTGGCACCTGATGAGGAGCGCATCATGACGACCTATCTTCGCAAGACCAACATGCGGCTCCTTGTCTTCCTTTGCTTCGAGATAACCTGTACACACAACAGAGTTGCTCGCACAGCCTTCATCCTTATCCTTCCCATTTTCACTACGCCTGCCGTCGTCGTCGGGCCAGCTTGGCTTAATGCCAACATGCGAGGCACAGATCATAGTGCCATGACCAATGCATTGGCCGGTGCGGCCTCAACACTGGGGGCATTTGTCAGCAGTTATGCGTACCTCAACACCAATCTCCCGCCCTACATTAAGAGCAACTTGTCCAACTTTGCCATGTTTGGCACCGCTATCATCGGTAGCATTATCCTCCTGCTAAACTTCAAGCATGAGAACTACAGCGCGAAACAAAGGCTGTCGATATCTCCAGGCTCACTGAAGAGGAGGTAAAGGAGCTTGGAAACAACATCCTTCCTTCCGTTATGCTCTTTAGCTTCATAACTCTAGCA